GACCTTCTTCAATTTTGAAAGTGTCTATTTTTTGTACTTTCTCTATTTCTTGGAAACAAATTAGGGTTCTTTTAAGTGGAAATAAAAAGGAGTTGTTGGGCCAACAAATACTTTTTCAATGGCTCTTTTTTTCTTGCCGTAGTTGGACAGGCAGTAAAGTAAATACAGATACTGAAAATGTTTTATTTCAAAGATGGTTGTTTATACCAGTCGCTTTTTTTTTGTTTTGCTGTAGATTGATTGATAAAAATATCACAACAAGATAAAGTCATAATTTTTATTATTATTTTTTTTTTTTATTTTCATGCATAAACTTTCCCCTTTTAGGAAAAAAGCTAAATAATAAAACATTATTTATATAGAGTTGTATGTATGTATGTGTATAGTATATAAATGTAAACAGGACATCATATCTGTTGGCTTGTTTATGACGAACGAAAATAACGCAGTATAAAAGTAAAAGCTTGATTCTATTTGTTTGTATTGGCTGTTTTATTATAAACATACAATTTTTTTGTTATGAAAACCATTTATAAACTTTCAGGGTTGATATCTGCAAAATTTCATATGTACGAAAAAAACAAGAAAAACACCAGAAACAAACAAAAAACAAGACATACTTTTGGCTGCTATCAGTTTAAACATTTTTCATAATTTCAACCATATTTTGAGCAAAAAAAAAACAGCAACAACAGAAAAATAACACTGGGAGTACTATATACAAGTTGTAACAGTATCAGCAGCAGCTGAATGAATGAATGGAAAGTGTGTATTTTTATGATATGTCAAAAAATTGTTACCCCAAAATGAAAACATGCTGCAATATTGGTACCACAAATTCAACCACAATGCCTCCATTTTTAAATAAAAAACAAGTAGACAAAAAAATTTAAAAAAATAACACCAAAATGAAAACAAGACTTTATCCGTTTTTTTTTTTTTTGTATAACACATCTTGGAATAATTTGATTTTGTTGTTGCTGTTTTTCATCATCATCTTTTAGCCAAGTGAGTCAACATAATGTGAAAGTATTGGTGTATGAATCCTTTTCATAAACGCATCTATATAGACATACTTGTATATGATAGTATTTTTACGTAAAACAAAAACAAAAAAAAAAACTAGCATGATTTCACATTGCATGTGCCACAACAACATGCTACATGTTCGAGTTTATTGCCACTTTTGGTAAAACTTTTGATTTCTCTTTATACAATTTTTGTTGCAAAAATACACATGCATTCATGCAATATTGCTTTTGGCTATACATATGTATGTATATGTTGTTGATGTTGCCAAAAACTCGACAAAAATTGCAGCCACAATAGCAATTACAGCAGCAGCTACAATAGCAACAACAGAAAGAAAAACTCAATGACAACGAAAACCATATGCAATTGCAATTTAGTTCAGCTAAAGCAAAGTAGCACATCAACCAAATTCCACCCACCAAATGTTCGATATAAATACCAAAGAAACATATAGAAATTGAATCTGATATATATATTTTTTTTAAATAAATTTTACTGAATGTTATACATTTGCTGTTTTTGTTTTTTTTAGATTTTTTTCAATATTGATCTCAATAAGTGTAGCTTAAAATTACATTTATTTGTACACTTTATAATCTGTAAATAAACAGTATTCATTTGTTGTTTGCTTTTAGTAAAAATGATTTTGTGAAAAGTATAGAACAATAGAAAGTTTATTAAATTGCAATAATCATACGGATATTTTTTCAATAACTAAATATAAATTAACACTACCAGAGACTTAAATATTGAGAAGAAAATAAAGTTATATTTGAAAAAATAATGAAATAACCTAAACATACAATACAAAGAACTTCAAACTGACTGAAAATCGATTGTTTGTGAGATACATCCCGAAGGTATGTTCGAACCAAAATCTGTTCTCGTTCAGAATGATCTAGAGTTTTGAAATCTTAATTTATAACTCAGAACATACCTAGTAGCCCTCGTATTATTAAATGACATGTTATAACTAAACTTTTAATTAAACAATTAATTTGTTTGATTAAAATCTAATAAAAACATGTCATTTACAAACAAAGTTCCAAGAAAACAGCAAGTCACATAATTTATGCTTTACAAATGAGTAGTAACCTATTTTGTCTCTTATTTGTAAACATTCTATGACATATTTTTCTTGTTAAATATTTATGTATTTTTCTGTTGGTTTTTTTGTTTCTACGATCTCCCAAAGGATTAAAAATCATTATACACTCAAACAAACCTACAATAAACTAAACAATTCAATGTTGCTGTTGTTGTGTTGTTTTCTTTTTATTAGAAAAGGGGGGAAAGAGTTACTGTAAAAACAATTTGGTAAAAATTTATTTAACATTTTATATGTACAATAGCAATGTTCCCCCAATGCTAAACAACACCTTTGAACAACACTCCCCTCTGGTATAAAAAAGGGAAAAAAGATTAAAATGCTGCAACAACAAGAGGAGCAAGAGTATTTGAATTGTTATTTTGACTTTATGATTCTATCAAAATCGTTGCTGATGCATACAATATATGTTGCACATGCAACACACAAGTGCATACATATGTTTGTATGTGTCTAAGTTTAGTGTAGAGAGTTCATAGTAATAAAAAACCAAACAACTGCAACAATAAAGTTGTACTATTTGTATATGCAAAAGTCTGTCTGTCTGTTCGTTTGTCCGTCCGACCACTCGAACGCCAAAATGTCTATATCTGACTGACTATTTATTTTGTTGATGCACCAAAAACAACATCACTAGCAATAACAACAACACCATCAAAATGCAAAAAAAAAAAGAAATGAATAAAAGCAAAAATGTATTGAAAATAAAAACATTATTTAACAACAAATCTATTGAGCATTTTAAAATCATAAAACACATACACACAACAGCAAATTGTTGGGGAGTTAAACATTTTTGTAGTTGCAGTTGCTGTTGTTCAATTGTTGATGGCATTTAGCTGTAGTAGTAGTAGTTCGATTTGAGGTATGAGTATTTGTAGCAGGAACAATTTTTGCGGTTGTATACTGCAATGTGTGCTTTGGACATATTCAAATATATTGGCGTTGCATCGATTTGTCATTTTGACGCTTTTCAAATGCAACATAAAACGCTGGCATATGTCAGTTGATGTCTTTACCGGTAGATGTTAAAGTGAAGTACGCGAAAGAGAGATAGACAGTTAGTCGGACAGATGGATAGATGAATGGGACAGGGAAGTTGTTAAAAAAAGCGCCAGTTGTTTTAAAATTTATACTAAATTGCATCGCGTATAATTTATTGGCAAGGGTCTTAAATTACCACTGCACTCACTACTAGTAAACGACTGACGCTTTAGCTCACCATTTGACACACTCTCGTACATAACATCAGCAATATGTTTGTTTGTGTCTGTTGTAGGTATGTATGTTTGTGTTTGTTGCTTGGTTGGTTGGTGTGTTAGTAAGTATTTGCTTTTTGCATCCTTGTCCATGGTATTGTAATGCATTTTCTATTATTTATCAACAGCAGGCTTAACAACACAACCAATAAAAATATTCTTGTTCTTCTTGCTTTTATTTAAAGTCCACTCTATAGACACCAGCTCCTCCCTGCCATTCCATAGCTCATATTTTATGTCGGGTTGTGTTTGTATGTATACCTATAAATGAGCGTGTATTTGATTGTGCATTTTTATGGGGTATTGGAATTTTTGATTGATTTTAAAAATTCCACGATTTATGTTTGCCATTTTTGTATTGTACGCTCGTACATCATACACAATGCAGTTGCAGCAGCAAACTTATTCATTTTATATGCATGTTGATAAAATGTGTTTGAATATGTCTAACCAGGAGTATTGACGGTAGTTATACCCTACTCTCGAAAGGAATTTGGACATCTTACTGACAGATTTCATAATACTCAGTTTCAGAATTGATCTAATTAAATCTTACACATCATTTTTACATTACATAGAAATTTAACTAGTTTTAGGAGACAGTAGATGATTGATTTTTCAACAGTAGGGGTTTCACAGGATCTAACACAGTGCATTTCATTCTGTAGCAAATTTTCTCAATAAAATTTTGCACTTTTATCACTACTCTTTGTGTTGTAGCTTTTAGTAATAGTAGTTTGTAATACAACTACGTTTGTGTATGTATTTCTATGCATTTACACCACCAGCATACTTGTAGTTTGTACTTTATATCCAGCAGTTTTCACAGGGACTCTTTTATGTTTTTGGACCATTTCATATGACCCGTAGATGCGTGTTCGTTGGAGGACAGATATAAAATTAACAGTTACTTCAGTGTTGCCAATAGTCGCTGAGAGTAATACAACTACTCTGACTTTTTCCTAGGACAATCACTTTTTCACAACATCAACCTCTAGAACTGCAGGGTACATACATATACAAATAATACATAGCATGCAGTAAAGTTTTAACTATATTTTATTTTTTTCATTTGTTTATTCATTCATCCGGTTGTAGTTTTTATTTCGTTTTAAATTTTTTTTCTGTTATAGTTGCTGTTGTCTTTTTTTGTGTTTCAGTTTTCGTAATTTTTAATAGTCCTTTGGGAAATTTTTGTTGCTGGTTGATGGTATAAATATGTGCACTAATGGATGAAATTAATTATTCACTGTCACAAGGCTTAAAGTATGACAGTTCTACATACACATTCATACGTTTTACACACGTACAAACACGCACAAATATTGAAAAAAAGCACAACAATATGTTAAGTTCAAAAAGATGTTGCATGCAGCATTAAAGCAATAAATGAATAAAAAAATGTGTTAATGAAATGTTAATTTGACAATATCTAGAGTAAAAAACTGAAAATAATTTATTTTAGTTTTATTTTTTTTGCATTTTTTAGATATGTTAAGGGGTTTTAGAGTTCCTTTTTTTAATTACATAGTAAATTTATTTAAAAACCAGTGTCAAAGCAACTTTAACTAAAATGATGTATTTTTTTTTCTATATTTCAGATAAATTAGAGGTAAGTACAACACCCATTATTAATAAAGAGGAAAACTGTATTATTTTCCCGATTCCGTCTGTAACACATGAAAATAGTATATTGTTTTCCCGATTCCGTCTGTAACACATGAAAATTGTATATAAACAGGGTACTAAAGACAATCTATTTATACACGCCTACTAGTCCATATGGCTGTCCGTCCATCTGTCTTAACATAAAGCTAAATATCTGAAAATACGTTCAATACCCACCATTAATAAAGAAGGGGACTATATTGTTTTCCCGATTCCGTCTGTAACACATGAAAATGGTATATAAACAGGGTCCTAAAGACAATCTAGTTATAGACGCCTACTAGTCCATATGGCTGTCCGTCCATCTGCCTTAACAGAAGGAGCTAAATGTCTAAAATTATGGTATTCAAGATGGGCAATATCTATACACCATTTCACATAGTTTACAATTTATTTACAATAATTTGTTTGCAAGATATCTATATTGCAAATAAAATAACATTTTCAAGACATCAAATAAAATAACATTTTCAAGACGTGTACATTACTGTAAGTGAAAACATGTTATTTGTTGGAAAAAAAATGGATTCAGTAGAACTTTTGTTTATCTTTATTATCCTAAAATACTTTTTCAAATCTGTTAAGTATTAAACTTTGCAGGTGTTAATTCTATTTGAACTTTGATATATCCTTATTCTCTAAAAAAATCTGTTGCTTCTTTTCATTCGTTCATTTTTGAAGCATTCCGAAAAAAATACTTATCAGATAATTTGTTAGAACAACAAAATAAATTGCACTATGGGCTTAATATTTTGCCACCCCAGCCTTATTTTCTCACTTCAAAAACGATTATCTAGATGAAATTGAGGATGAAAACACCTCCTAAATATTTCTTTGATTTTTTCACTTTTTTTTTTTTTTTGTCTGCGAACATTTTTTTCGTTATCTGTTTATCAAACATCACTAGTTCCATTTTCATGTACTATATTGTTCAGTGTTTTCAAAGTTTTTTTATCTAAACAAAATATCTGGGTAACAGTAACAGTAGCAGTGTTAGTGTGTGTGTGTGTTTTAGTATTTATTATATGGTATTGGTGTGTGTGTGTCCTTTTTTGAAAATCTCGCTCTTCCGGTTTGTATGTTGTCATCCTTGTTTTGGGTTTTATGTTTATTGGTTTCATTACTTTTTCATATCATGATATTTATCTAGATAGTCGTCCACTCTGTCCACTGGTTTTAGGTTCATGTTCATGATATGAGTATGTTTTCTTTTAAGATAATCAAGGGTTAATGTTTTCTCATAGATTTAGATTTGTTTTAAGCACCGAAATTGGGGAAAAAACAAAATCAGGTTGTTTTGTTTTTAGCATTGTTAACAATATTTTACTACTATTTTATTACATTTTATCTGATTCTAAAAATAGAGCGCTCTTAACATTTATTATTTGTGTAGTTTTACTTTATGATGGGATCTTTTGCTTTCCTTTTCTTTTTTCATTGTCTCATTTTGTCTATTCCATTTCCTTTTCCAAGCTCGTTTTGTTATCGATTGTTTGTTGTTTGTAGCTAAAAACAAACACTTGTCGTTTTCGTTTAAATTAATTTACATTTTAATGCTTTCGACGCTTTATGCATAAAAAAAGCTTCTTTTGCTTTTCTATTCAATGGCTGGTTTGTTGGAGATAAATGAACGATGTTGTAGACACTTGAAAACCAGGAAATTATGCACGTATAAGCATGAATTGAAAACGTATCTGGGACTTGTATGCTCCTCGTATATACATATATATTTATTTATCTATCTTAGTAGGCGGTCGCCATTGGCAGCCGCTGTTTCTTTTTCTGTCGTTGAAGGTGGTCTAGGAGACATGTTTATCCATAAACATTAGCATTTATTTCCTCTTGTTTATACATTTATTCGTTTCACCTTAGATTCGAAATACAACATAAAGTGGAAAAAAGGACCTGTTTCTTTTTCATTTCATTACATTTGACTGTCATCATTGGTAGTGTCACCACAATTTTAATTCGGAAATATACGAAAAAGAAACTAAATAACAATGAATTCTTAACGAGATCTCATCAAAAGCGTTAGAGTAAGAGGCGCTATCAAACTGCCGCTACGTGACTGTTTCATTGTTTTAACAAATGACTAACAGAAAAAAATAGAACCAATTGTTGTTTTTTGTTAATAAAAGCCTAGTAAATTTTCTGTTTTTTCGTTTTTAAGACTCTCTTCTTTATTTTTGTGCCATAATTATCATTTGTTATTTGGTATAATTATTTGTTTACTCGAACAGGAAATAAGGAAATTAAACATTCTTGTCAACACTCTCATATATATTTTACAGACAAACACACTCAAACACACACATTTTATGAGACATACATACTCCTAAATATTTTATTTATTTATAACAAAAATAGTTTTATTTTCATTTTAAAAATGTTATGTAAAAAGGTTTTTCATTAAATATTATTAATAGTCGTTATGTAGTTATTGTTGTTTGAGTATAGAAGTATTTAGTAGTTTGTTTTCATTTATTAGTAATAACTATTTTAACAAAAAGTTACAAACAGGACAACCAAAAATTCAAAACGATATCAAAATTGTTTTAAAGTGCTAAAAAATTAATACATGAGTTTTTTCAACAAATTTCAGGTTTTATATTTTTGGTTACCCTGGTTATAAATTTCAATAATTTAAAGTTCTGTAAATATTCTTTCTTAGTTACTCCCATTTAGTTACTTTTTTAACTGCAGTTCTTGTATTGAGATATAGTATTTCTTGCTTTTTATGGCCAAAGTTTCTTGGTATTTTTATCACAAATTCAGATTGTGGTTGGGAAAAAAGGGAGAAAAAAATTAAATATTTTTGTGTTTAATTTAAATAATATGTAGAAAATGTTGCAAAATTGCAAATGAAAATAAATCAAATGAATTGCCAAGAAAATTGTTTTTCGGAATTATTTTGAAAGCAGACTTCAATATTAAGATTTAAAATATTTTCATAAATTTTGCACCAAAAACATTTAGATAACATGATGGCAGAAAAGTCATAAGTTCAATAAAATCATATATAATTTATATTATTATTCTGCTGTGCCGATTCTTATATACCCTTCACCACTATGACATTCTTAAATCTTTTCTTACGTTTTACATTTTTTATATAAGAAAATACGGATTTTATTCATAAATTGCATCACGCCCCTGGTTTTGGCAGACAGACAGACAGACAGACAGATAGATAGATAGATAGATAGATAGATAGATAGATAGATAGATAGATAGATAGATAGATAGATAGATAGATAGATAGATAGATAGATAGATAGATAGATAGATAGATAGACGGACAGACAGATAGGCCTGCTGTGATGGAAAAATCTAATCAGGTGAGATTTGAGTTTAGCGCAGCTCGATCTTTTAGAAAAAAAGATAGTTCTTGATAATATCCGTTTGCCTGTGAGCAAGCTATCATCAAAATCACGACAAAAACACATGACTATTCCTATATTTATATATATCGGATAACGTAATCTGTAGTATGTATAACTAAAAGAACTGTAATTCGATTTATTTTCTTATTCCAACAATTTAATTTTTTCTGAAAATTTAAATCAATTCAATGAATGAAAGTTTATGATTAAAATACTTCAATTTCAACAAGTTTAGTATTATTCTTATTTTCTGAAAAGTAAATACATAAATACTTTTCTAAAAAACAAACAAAATTCAGCACTTTTTCTCTCGTTTTCATTTATGGTAATTAAAAAAACATGACCATAAACATTCCTGTTGTTTTTGGCCTCTTATAATGTGCTGCGCCAAAAAAAAAAAAAAAAAACAAAGAAAAAACGGGAAAAAGGATCACAAAATTGCATGTATGCTGCGAGAACGAGTATTTTTAATCGAGTTTATTATTTAAATGGTTGTTGGCACGAGGCAACAAAAGAAATATTTTTTAAATGTTTTGTAAACTTTCGGCGAACTTGAACTTCAATAAATGCTGTTGTTTTGCAGACTAAATGTAAACTTTACAGTTTTTTTTTTTTTTGTTTGTTAAATCCCAAGTCTCATACAATTTAAACTGCCCCTGCCTTAAAACTGTAACACACTTGGTGGTTTGGTGGAAAATATTGTGGAATGAAATAGAAGGGGCGAAAAAAACTGCTCGTGTTGTTTGAAAAATACACACTATTAAAATTTTGTGATGCAGTATCAGCCCGTATTTAAATTAGAAAGTAAACAAAAGCGACAAATTTATGTAATTGAAATAGCAGACATGGTTGATGCTGCTGCTGATACGGCTGATATGCATTCAGTTTAAAAGTAGAGATATGGTGGCTAGGCCGATGCCGCTGCTCTTGCCTGCTGTTGAAATTCAAACATACAGCAGAGTCTATGCAAACACTTGGCTTAAATCAACAACATATAACGAATAGATGGAGAAAAAAACATATAACACACATACAATACAACAAAAAACTGAAATTTTACAGTTAAAAAATGAAACGTTATATTCGTCCTAACTGAAATAGAGTTTAAGCAGTTTTCAAACAGTTTTCATTACAACATTGAATCCTTCTCTTACTCTTGGGCTAAAGCCATCAGGGCTTTTAGAAAAAATTCTTCTTGTTGTTGTCGTCATCGTATTCATTTCTGAAAATGAAAATGGCTCGTTTTTATTTTCAAACAATTACGAGAAATATGTACATATTCCATATACAATATTTTCTTTGAGTTGTGTCAGTTGCTGATACAATAAGTTTTAGACAATTAAAGCGAATTTTAAATATACTACAGAAAAAATGCTATGTACATTTACCAAATAACATACTTTTTAATGTTTACTACATATCAATTTCAATACTCAGAACGTAGTCTAATAATATGTTATTAATAACGTGTTATACAAAGAATTATTGTAATTCTCATTTAGTTGATCCATTAACAATCCAGACTTAATAATATTTTAAAAAGTTGCAATTGTCGCAAATA